ACATATATTTCTGACCTCTTCTGGAGGTTCCATCATTGTGTGCATTGTGGTGGAATAATTATAATATAGATTGCACATGTAATCTTTGAAGATGGATATGTATGGTTTCTGACCGAAAACCACTGTTGGGGAGAATATCTGCAATGACTTGTTTGGTCTTATGCATATAATTGGTGTCTTTTGTGTTTCAACACTTCCTCAACTATACTTGAGGTAATTACTTTAATTGCACATGCAATAAACAATTCTACCAGATCGCTTCATTATTGCTCTTATAGACACTCAATGTTCAACTTCTATCATTCTGGTATTGAGTCATACACTCACCACAATTGTCAAATCAAAATTCTCGCAAAAGCAGAACATGAAAGTCTGCAAGTTACCGATTTAACTTCATAATAAAATTTCTGCAAGCTTCAGGTTGCAAATTAACGATAATCATACATGTGGCTATCTCATCGACATATCGATTGATATTCTTCTCCGAATTTAATGTATATAAAATTACTTGTCTCGTCTTGAAACCAGCATCGCTTAATTAGTTATGCCAAATTTTAAAATTTTTCTTCTGGAGAAAACAGTGAATTAATTATTCAAATATACCAGAACAATTTCGCTCCACATGAGCGTTTATTTTAACAGAGTATTTGTTATTCAGTTATTTTCATTCTACCATAAGTATTCTTGTTCTTCTGCAGCACACATATAATCTTATTGAGATAATCATACTCTACATGAGTATTTTCATTCTATCATAGTGCTCTTGCTCTTTTAAAGTAAAGTGTATTGCTCGTCTACTGGAGACGGTTAGAACAATGTCTATCCTTCTTTGATTCTTTGGATAATCTTAGTGCTCTTTCTCCTTCTAATATTCATTTCTAATTGCTCTTCTAGAGGCAATGATATATTCACTATATTTGCTCTTCAGGGGCATATATTTATTTTCACTCTCCAGAGTAATTATACTCTACTGAAGTTTTCATTTATCTTTACAAAATAATTCAATGGCATATGCTCTACGGGAGCATCTAATTGTTTCGTGTTCATCATTGACTAGCATCACATTCAGGGCGATTAATAAAAATTGAATTATGATTTGTTAATTCATTGTCGACATGACTAATGAATTCATCTACTTTTAATAATATATTGAAGATATTAATAAGATAATTGTGGGTATACATAACATGTGAACTCAATGGTTTTCTATGCCACAACAATAGCATTTGTAATATACTACTTTTCAACTTCATATCGATAGTAGTGTTTTCACTATTTTTTCAACTTTAGGTGGTTAATAGTGTATTTGTTAGAATCGCTACTATCATTATTGCATGATCGTCACATTTACTTCAGGAAATGGACGATGTCTAAATTAATTCTCTAAATTCAGGTGAAGAATTATATATATACATAATTATTGTAGATTAATGTCTACAATTTGCCTTGAAATAATTTACTACCCCCTCACTTCGGGGAGTGGAAGGAAATCAATTCATAAGATTTCATCAAATATGTCGCTATAATGCTACTACTAGAGCATTTTAATATGCTAAATATTTTATCACAACATTGCTACTTCAGGAGCAATTTTGACGCATTTACATATTGCTATTGTAATGTATTTACTTTCATTACTAAATATCAGCATTACTATGAGCAAAGTAAATATAAAAGAACAAAAAAAGTATGAGAAGAGAATTAATTCATTTTTACTAATATCAATAAACACATGATAATAAAACAAAATGCTTTCCTTGCAATCTAAATATCAAAGAAATTAATTCTTTAAAGAAAATTGTTTTCTTTGCACACATGAATACTACCACAATTACATGCAAATTATATAACTTTTATACATTCACATGATCAACAATCATATACATATATATATATATATATTAAGAATTGCATCGTGATCGTTATATGTGTGATATGAATAAATAGAATTTATAACAAAAAATATGTCCCTTTATATGCGAACCAAATATGTATGCTTTATAATTTACCTTTTTCTCCCATCATTTTGAGTCATTAAATTGAACTCCATGATGAACCGTTTCAGTGTGGTTAGAAACTCGTGCACCAGAAAATTTTTGAGGTCACGGCGCTTCAGGTGCTTTAGATCACGAAAGCCTTTTAAAATATTTTATTGAGGCTTTAAGCCTTCAGAATTAAATACGCACCAATTTCAGGTGGTGGCAGAATTAAAATATTCATTGAGACTTCAGGCCTTCAGAATCAATATACACCAACTTCAGGTGGTGCTAGAAACTCTTTGGCTAGAGGCTCGTCCTAATAACGTGTTATAAAATTAATGTTAGACTACTAATATGAAATTAAGCATAAGAATAAAGAGGAGAGACAAGAGAGTAGATAGAGATAAAGGACTTGTATTCAGATATGTTTTGAAGCATGAATGAGCTCTCTATTTATACAAGAAGCAAGGGATCAAACTATATGAAATGAATCACCTATCCTTAATGCTAAATATTACATAATCATATCCCTTAATTGTGAACAGAATAATACATATTAATGTGGACATTCAATCAAATCAGATTTTTCCATAACAGATCCATAGTTATCTTTAGTTTTGTCTATGTATAACTTTATTTTTTTATGTTACTTGTTTAGATTTAGTAAAATATGTTATTTATAGATTTTACTGATTTATAAAGAAAAAATGACCATTAAATAATGAAGTGATGTGGTTGCGATACGTAGACTTGGCTATTTCATTTTTTACCATGTGGATTACCCTATTTAATTTTACGACATGTGTACCATTTAGAACTCAACTTTAATATGTATATGTAGAGAGAGAGAGAGGGTGAGAGAGAGAGAGAGAGTATCTTTGCATGCTTTGGTCCGTGCACCAATTATCCCGTAGAGTGGAGTGCTTTTTTATTATTATTATTTTTATTTTGTTTTGAAAGAGAAAAAAAAACTGTAGAATGTTGTTACTATCACTGTTCAGTAACTCAATATGTTTAGGCAATTATGTTTCTATTATTTCGCCCAAAAAAGAACTGTGTTTTTTTTACCCTCTTTGAAAAGTCAGCTGACTCGTTGACGTGAAAAGAAAAAACAAATCTATTCAATTATTTATTTTTTTTATTTATGTTTGTCATAGAGGTAGCTAACGTCTAAAATGTCAAATAGATGGATATAATTCTCCAATTGTATTCATATGACGAAGTAACAAAATGAATTCATGATTTAGTAAAAAATAAGGTTTCAGTGCTCAACTTTTAAAAACAAAAAAAAAAAGTTAGAATTGTTTCTAATTTCCACCGTACTTCCTCCAAAACTCCACGATACATAGTCGAAACACTATCCCGGTATCCTCCTCCGGGGGAATTTTGATCAGAATCTTTCACAAAATTCATTTAAGAGACAAACACTGAAAAGAATAATCTTTATGGCGACAAAGACAATGGAGACATTACTTGAAATTCTCTTGGTTTCCTTGGTAATTAATGAGTAGCCTTGAAAACGTTAATGGTTAAAATATCCATCTCCCATTCCTCTTTTATAAAATTTTTCAGATTCAGTAGTTAATTAATTGAAATATGTATGTGTTGTGTGTATTTCTAACTAATCAAGTTGACTTTGTTACTTTTGCTTGCAAGTTAATCATTTTAACCAATGTATCATAGGCAATTTTGGGTAGGGTGGTAAAGCTTGGAAATTATTATTATGAGTTTGTATCAAGATCTCTCCCTTCTTGACCGCGGATGTGAGTGAATTAGTCTTCAGTTGTTCTAATCAATGATTTGGTAGTTTAGTTCCACAATTTCGTACTTCTCTTTTGGAAAGATGGGGGGTTTTGTTTGTTGGGGTGGCGCTAGCTGTTTTCTTCGAAATCGTAATTATCATTCCGATAGAGTTAACCAGGAAACGGTTGATGTGTTGTTCCAAATATTCAATAACATGCTTCCTTTCCTTTTCTTTCATCTTTTTTCCCTTGACCTTTTCAAGTTTTCTTTTTTAAAAAAAAAAACTTTTTTCTATTTTTGATATAGGTGATTGGGCAATTACACCATGACGTGGGTTGTTTAATTTTGCTAGAGTTTTCTTCAAAGTAATAATTAAAGTGGTTGGCTCTTAACATTTGGTGCTATTTTAAGATTTAAGTTTTCAAATTTAGTCAATATTTTGGAAACAAGGAGAGTAGATTGTAGATGCATATTGAGAAAAATGAAATAATAACTGTAAGGTAAATAGTCTGTTTCCTTATCTCGGGTTGGAAGAAAGGAATCACGTTTAGTCTTATGGCCAACTCTCTCACCGATTCCTCTAGGACAAAATGTCGAATTTGTATCCTGTTTCCTTATCTCGGATTGGAAGAAAGGAATCACGTTTAGTCTTATGGCCAACTCTCTCACCGATTCCTCTAGGACAAAATGTCGAATTTGTATCCTGTAATTTACAAAAGTTTAAAAGCACTAGTCACTTTATAAAACGTATGGGAATTCTGTTCCCCAGACAATTTGGAACAGCTTGTGCTGGATAGCCTTCCAGCAGTTTAATGGATTTCATATACATTCGAACAAAACAAAGAAATTGGTGAATAGAAGATTCAGATTTCGATCTGGAGAATTTCTTCCCACCTCAGAATTGAGAAAGTTTGCTTTCACATTAATGGGTATGCACAAAATTTTGAAACAAATGGGAAACTTGAATGTAAAATATGAACTGTTGTAGCAAAACTGGAGAATACAACAAAGATAGTTCCATTGCTTTCCAGTTAAATACCTAAGTTTATACCCACCCCTGATCTCTATCATCTCTTTAGAATGGACTAAAATAAAGAGAAGAAAAAACTAAACCCAGCCAAAAGGGAAAAATTAAATAAAAAGACAAAAGAATTTTCACCCTTTACCTCACATGGATCATATAACTGGTAAAACACAGGACAGAAAATGGGTGCAAACCAGTTCGGCTACCGACAAAGGGCTGAGGAAAAAATTCACCCCTTGTGTTTGCCCCCTCCACTATGAACCACTGACTATTTGCAGTTCAAGGGGCTTTAAAGCTCCTTGAACAATTTCCTGAACTGTTCGGTTGCGACGACAAACCTCGGAAAGCTCTTCAATTGGAAGTTTTATATCATTGGTATCCTTCCTTAAGGATGCATTTGACAAAGCTTGCAAGAACTTGGACCTTTCTAAGTCTGTGACAGCTGAAGATGGAATCAATGCAAGACTCTCTTGTGCCCATTCAAGAGTTTTCATCCCATAAGCTCGAGTAAGTGCTAGTAGTGCATAGGTTACCTGTTGGCATGGAATTTAAACTAAGCGATCGAGATTTGAGTTAACCAACCAAGAATGCTAGTGCAGAAACAAAGGTCAATTCCTATTACCGTTTCAACTTGTGAATTTGGGAGTGCACCGGTTAAACAAGCAACCAAAATCCTGGTGATTGTTGGCCCACGAGGAATTATAACACTGTCTCTTGTGGACAAATACATTTCTCCATGGCTAGAATTGCCAAGATCAAATATATCAGACAAAAAATTTAATATGGAATTTGATGCCTCCCTGTGATGAAGGAAAAAAAACAGCAAAGTCAGTATACAGTAACCTCCAGTTGTCAAACAACAAAATGTTCATTATCTGGACAAGTATTGTACAATTGTCAAACAACAAAATGTTCATTATGAGTGCCCGAAGGAGTTTAGAACATGAATGTCAGACTACATTTACCCACCACCCCCCAACACACACGCACACACACACACACAAAAGAAGTGAAAAAATGTGCGACTACAAAAGTAAACTCCTATAGAGAAACAAATTAATGACATGTCCATTCCATTTACATACTGATAAAATTAAAAACAAAGAAGTGTCAAGAGAGACCATATACCAAAAGAGTTAATAACTTCTAGTACCATGAACCCACTCAATGAATATTTTTCTTTTCGTTTTTCCTCTGAAAAAGTAGCTTTTAATACTTAGCAACAATCTTGCATCCTTGAACCAGTCATTGTGACATGTGACGCATTGATATGCTTCATGAATATGTTACTATAGATGTGCCTAAAAGGAGATAAATCATAAACTAAATTGTTTACATCACATTTACCACCATTAACGTATACTGAAAGTTTTTATTAGCAAGTCCACCTAGTAAATGTGAACTTTGAATTACTTGCTCAAATCGAAAGAACATACTGGAAGGTGAACATAACCATCACATAAAAATAATAGTGATCAGGAAACTGCGTGAGCGTAAGTACAAAATCACACAAAAAGCAACCATACAGAAAATGCAGAGGCGAACAAAAGTATTCCTCCTCGCCACCTCAATCACTAATATATCATTGCTGGATCTTTCCAGGAATCTACTTTCAACAGAACTGCCAATTAAGGGGGTAAGGTCATGATACTCCATTACGAGAGAAGAAGTGACCAAGAAATAGCTTTCCTTCACAATACAAATAACACAAACTCATATTCTGCATGCAAAAGTTTGAATTATGAGATTCCTCTTATTAAATCACACTTCCCACTTACATGAAGATCTGTCAAATAGGCAAAAGCTCTATTACAAGGCGAAGCCAACAAATGTTGATGATTTCATGTTACTTATGACCATTCCTTGATACAGTCCCTATTTCTTCCGCTCATGCATACTCTACCGTGCCCTTAACCTCCAAACAACCCTTCTACTTAGATTGCAAGTGACATGAACAAAAGAAATATGCAAATCAAATATCAATGTCTAAGAGCAACAATCGAATCTCCAAGAGACTGCAATTTTTTTATCTCACTCAAATTGAACCAACTCTGCTCAATTAAAAACACTGCTTATCACAAGATATAGTATGAATGCAACTTTAAAGGGGAATTGTATGCATATCAAAATGCACCAATAAGTTGCAACCATTTGTGGTTTGCATATGGCACCCTACTAAATCATCACGAACCAGCTCCTAGAAGCAAACAAGACCACAAGGAAACACAGACAAATATCATTGTTGCTTTACTTACGATGCAGAAAGAGACACCCTAGTAGCTGCTCAAAACTTTACATGTGCGCGATCCAATAATCAATTTAACGTTCCAGGGTGATCAGATAAAAAGGACCAGATTTTTGCAAACAGGCAACTTCATAAATAAAGGGTGTGCAGGTGTGTTGTGTGTGTGTGTGTGTGTGTGAGAGAGAGAGAGAGAGAGAGATCATTCACCTATGCTGCACAGTCATGCCAGCCATGGCACAATCCACCAAAGGTGGAAAAATTGGTGAAGCGAAAAATAATTGAGGACAATAACGTATACACCTTGATGCCAACAAAAAGCAATCATCCGCAATGTCTGGTCGGGAAGTAAACTCCTGGATTCGTGTTAGCAGACACGTTGTTTGGCTAAAGAGAGACTCAATCAAACTCTTTAAATAGTCTGCACATGCAGGATCAGACCCAAATATCTGCAAAATTGCACCTCAATATAGTTACTCTTTACAGTAAGTAAACAAGCAAAAAGTCCCCAAGGAAAGAAATACCTTGATAACTTCACTTGAAAGATAAAGAAAACAGGGTTGGTGGTGCTGCTTATAAAGTCGTTGTATCTCCTCCAGTATGGCTTCAACTGTGATTCCCATGAACCTTTTCGAAGTTCTTACCTAAAGAAATAATATTTCAGAATCAGCATCAAGGAAACTTCACTCAAAAATTGGTTCTTATATATCTAAAATTCCTCTCCGAGGAAACAGGTCGACCACATGTGATACTGAACTTTGAGAAAATTATGTTACACTACGTTCTCTGACTAGGTAAATTTAGAGTTTGCAAGCCACAAAAAACAAACAAACAGAAGACAATGCTAGAATGAGTTGTGTCACAATGATAACCAAGCTAATCAAAAAAGTTAACATCAATGTATGGGAACGAATGACTGATAGGAAACTCGCACTAAATACATGATTTTTTACACACACGGGGAAAAGAAAACCAAAAACTCACAGCATTCTTGCAAGCTCGACAAAGGGATTCCATAGTCCGCATGTCCCATGCACGACTGCAAGAAACAAAATGAACAGTTAGTATGGTAGCCTTACATATACCTGAGAGCACAAATAGAAGGAATCTATCACTAAACATGTTTGCCTAATTACACTTACAGATCAAAGATCAGTTTGAAAAGTGACCAAAGCCTATGAATTGCATCTGCCACAGCTTCAGGGTGATTGACATGTCTAGCACATGCAACTTTTCAGTTAGGAATACAATGACAGATTTAAGGGGGGGGAGAAAACGAAAAACATTTATAAGGCTCTGTACCTAAAAATATTGGCAAGCCGGTCAATATGAACTGTCAGGTCACGAGCAGTTTTTTGCCCCAGTATAAGAGGGCCTTGATTAATAATTTCCTGGTAAAAGAGCAGACATTTTGGTGTACTGTTTGCAATCCAATCATAAAATTTAGCATGGGAGACCAACCTGTAGCGGAGTAACAGCAGGCAAGCACAATGCCTCAAGGGCCTTCTTAGCTTGTTCTGAAGGAAGTTCTGTGATAACCTTGCTGCAAAATTTAAAAAAGAATGATTAAGCACTTCATTCATCACAGTAACAAGGTTAAGATGAATCAGTAGAACACCTTAGAGCTTCGACTAGATGCAATGAATCTTCAGCAGAAACCTTGAAAGAACTTTCCCCAATCACTGCCATTTTATAGATTTGAAACAGGCCTTCAAAGGACCCACAAAGTTTCTTACTGCAATCTGCCAAGAAAGCAAGCACGGCAATCTAATTCAACCAAACTAGCAAAAACACAATTATAGCCAACATACTATTCAGAAACATAAGTGAACGTCAAAAAAGCTGTGAATTATCTAAAACAAAGAATCTACAAAAACGAAAGAAATGTTGAGATTGCAAATCCTGTCTAGAAAAGGTATAACTGATAGAAACACAGATTTTCTTTTTCTGCACAAATTTTCTTTTCAAACCGCAGATTTTCTTTTCCTTGGATTAAAGGAAACATCGAAAATAAAAAAGGGCAGGCACCCATTCGTGACGGATGATTTTCTCGTCTAATATCATGATCGCCACATATTTGATTGCCAGTTACTTTCTTGGCAAACAAAGCAATAATTAAAAATGAATAATGCAAATTGTCAATTCACAGCTGAACTTCTAGTATTGTGACTCAAAAAGGTGGTTGTGAGAAACATATAATCCTGCCAGTTCTCCAAAAGTACACTATCGACCAGAACTTAAGAAAAGGTACCCTTACCATTACAAATATGTCTAAAGGCCAAAGAAGCCGCTGCAGCTGAATCTTCCGATATGCTCATTCCATTAACAAGAATATCTATCAGAGATGGCAGGAAAGAAACTCCACTAGATGAAGCATCGAGCCACCGTGAATAGGCTCCAATCGTTAGGCATACTACATTAAGATGTTTACAATATCGGAGACCGTACATTCATCAATCCACTCACAGACCGCAAGCAAATAAGTTAACGAGTCATAGGAAATTAGAATATCAATCAGAATACTGATTCCTTTATCCAAGAGCTAGCAATATATCTTCCTACACAAACCCTCTCAAGTATCTCTGCATGCATGATTGCGTGCAAAAGAGGGAAAATTTTGCTCCTTGTAGTGAGCAAGCAGCAGCTTACCTGTCTGCAACAGTTGAGGTTGATGAGGAAGTTTTGGGAATAAGGACATAATCTGCAGAAGCAAAATGAAGTTGGGGTAGTCAAGCAATCTATAGAGGATAAAATATTCTTAGACTAATGCATAAAATCCTAGGAACAAGAAAAGCAGGCATAATTTCCAAATCTGCAAATGGCAACGCTAAGAAATAGCATCTTCAATTTTGAACCTGTGGCAATATTTCAGCTTCAACAACTGCAACATAATCTGATATGGCCCTAATACAATACAAAGCAGCTTCAGCTGGACGCCAATCAGTACCGTTATCTTTCCCACTGTAACTTAAGGCCTGTGGAAGACATTTCAGAACAAGTTATAAAATAATTCTACTGACGCCACCATAAATCATATGTATGTATCATCATGTGTCGAAAGGCTCCCTGCTTTGTGAGGGTGTTGGGGGAGGACAATTGCAAACAAAGGATAAGATATAATAAAAATTAAGGAATACTCAACCAATTTCTTTGATTCAAACTTAAATGAATAAATCAAGCTTAAGAGTAAGATATGGGATAAGATGGAAGCTCAAATTTTTAGAAGCATCCTCAGTCAGGTCCAACAAAAATGGATATGGAGTGGATGCAATATCAATCCAATCTTATCAGGCATGGAAACAGTAACAACCTTACCCGCAAAGAGGTCCAGACATATACGTTATGTTACTTACCCGCAAAGAGGTCCAGACATATACGCTAATCAATGGTCAGATTATTTAATACTGGTTGTTCTCATGAAACTAAAGCTTATCAAACTCAGGTGAAATTTACTTGTCTCAACCTCTGGGAAATAACACCGAAAATTTGATCTATTCTGGATTCCTCCATCAATTGGTGTTCATCACTCGGGCTCTTGGAAGATTCAAATACAAGAAAAGGATGGTTGAAGACCCAAAGGAAGCATTTGAAAGGTAAATCAATCCTGATTTTCTAGAGCTAATGAACAGAAACTGAGATTAACTTGTCATTTGAAGTTTTGAACCCTAAGGATTACAAACAGTAAGCAATTCAAGTGACCAAGAACTGTTCTAAGATACTGCTATAGTCAACTCAAAAGTAAAAGCCTTCCTGGTCAGTACAATATCGGTACCCGTTACATCAAAAGATAAAGAGAAGTTTCGATAAGCACAAGGACAAGAACTTGCAGAAGGCAGTACAAACCTCAACAAGCTTAACATACAAAATCTTCAGTGTCGCTTCTCCACCTAAAACTAATGCTCCATCAATTAAGACGTCCGCAACAGCTGAAAACATTGATGACTTTGTAAGAAAATATGACATGACAGAGGTGACAATAATAATGTACCAAAATCAACATCAAAGCATGCTTATGAGGAACATTTTTGCTTCCCAAAGAGAGCAACCTTGCAATCTCATCATCAGACGGTAGAAACAGTACCAACGAAAGTAAGATGATCATAGAAGAGAGAAAGAGACAATTAACTATCAGCATCATTTTAATGCACGTTGAATATCAAGGAAACCTAAACACATTGGAGCTAGATATAAATGACAAACAAATAACAAACGAAAGTTTGAGACGATTGGGGAACCCTTAAGTGTAACAAAAGCACATGTAACTCAAATAACCTAAACAATGAACTAAATAAAGCGTGCTTTTGTAGAGAAAATATCTGCAATCTGTACCGACAGGGCACAATGGCGACATATGATCAATATAGCCGACCCGACCCCACCTAGTGGGGAAACAGATTGTTGTTGTACTAAATCAAATAACAACTAATGCTGATTGAAATTTATAGATTCAATTTCAAATTATGAACTAGTGTCTGGCCAAAAATTTCCAGACGTCTGAGATACATTCCATTATGTACTGTGTACAATGACGAACCAATGATTTAAAATGATGCATTATCTAGTTCACATCTAAAACCGAAGCTAAAGGCTAATCTGAAATACCATTGAGCTAAAAACTCTTTGTTCAAAACATTAGTAAGATACATTGGGGTCACAAGATCTGGCTTCATTGGCTTCTATTTTTACAGATGCAATGTTAGAGTGCTTCAGCAAATAAAGTAGTCCCATCATAAATTCAAGGATCCAAACTCTCTTCTTCTATACATTTAATGGTTAATAAATCCCAATTGATATACACAACTAGAGTAAGAAAGAGAAAAAGAGAAGTTGGCCCAAAAACTGCTGCAATGTGGCTTCAATAAGGGGATTCGGTGTAAAATATGTAAGTTGATAAACAGAAACAATTTACAGAAGAAGAGACACTTTAGGATTTCAACCATAGCCCCAGTACAAAAGGCAACGCGACTGCATTTTCACTAGATGGTCCATAGGAAGGGCATGCACAAGCACTACTTAATTGAAGTTCAAAAGTCTGATTAGGGAGAAACACTAATTCATTACACAAGGGTTACACGAGGGAGGGAACAAAAATGCAGAGTGCAGAACCTAGGAACTCTTAATTCTAAAAGTTGTGCACAATATAGATTCTAATATAGAAAGACATCTAATGAGAACCAAATCAGTGAAAAGATAGATGGTGTTTCCCTCCTATCTTCTACTGATCACAATATTTAATCACATCAAAGAGATTATCGCAATAACCTTCGAAAATCAAGGTACCGAGCCATTGATACAGTAAGAATGGACTGATCACAATTGAAACAAGTTCAAAGACCCCTTCGGATATTTCTTGGAAATTGCATCATAAAGAAACAGCCAAATTGGATCAATGTTTGAAGTTTTAAACAAGGTAGGAGAGAGTACCATATCTAGTCTGCTTGAAATCCTTTTGATCCTCCTTTGAGAGCTCTGCATAATCAGAAGGATACTGAACTTTGAAGGTGACCTGTGTATCAACAGACATAAGCAAATTAAACTACAACCCATTCATATTTCACATTTTACAGAGCTCCTTCCCCATATGAACAGCTTACAGAGTTCCCCAACCCAAACCCACCCAAAAATAAAAAGAACAATTCTTCAGCAAGCCTCCCCTAATTAAGCATCTATGATTTTCAGACGAGGAGCACAGACCATCTCAAATTCTAAAAATCTCAAGGAATTATATTTACAAAAGAAGTACATAGAAGCATTTGGATGTCAGTCTTTCTAATCACAATCAAATTAAATGCCTTTAGTAATTGGAAGAATAACAGAATTTCACGACAAGTATCAAGTAATATTTCGAACCCAGACAATTCGAAAAACAAATATCTGATTTCTGTTTAAAGCAACTTACCAGGGCAACAAGCGATTCATAAAAAGGCCGGAAAACTTGCAGCCGTCGACTTCTCTCAGCTTCAGTTGATGCTTCATCACTAGATGAAATGAAAAAGTCCCTGAGAAATTGAAGATGCAACATTGAAAATCTTCCTTGCAGACGTTTTCAAACAGTTAACACAGAATTCTCACCTCTCAGTCAAAATCATCTGAAGGTTATGCCAGAAATTAAATGTCATGGAAGCTATGTCAAATTCTGGATGCGAAGAAACTTCAAGTAACGCATGTACAATCATCATTGATTCATCAGACCCTGGAAAATAGTATTTTATTAATGAGACAAAAGAAATACACAACTCAAAACACTGACGGAATCTAACAGTCCACAGACCCCAGAAGCATATCTAAAATAATGGCAGATGGGTACTAAATGACAAGAGAAACATAATAGTAGAGAACAACATATACCAGTTGCAATCAGTTCCACATATGAGTCACCCATATCGGCAAAGAGACGAGCAATGGCCTTCACATCCTCCTCATCCTAGAAGTTGATGAACAATTGTGAAAAACATAAACACTGCTAAGATGAGCAGAAATTCAACAGAAAACTAAGAGAATCAATTGAAAAAGTATGAAATATAGCTACTGAAAATGAATAACAGCTACAATGTCAAGGAAATTCTAATCATTGTTAATTGGGATTTACATTCTAAAAGTACTCCAGCGATGAGCTCAGGAGAGCTTCACACACAACACCTAGTAAACATTAATTCTAAATACTACTACTTCCGTTATGCAATCGAAAGTTGTTTAAAATTTTAACTTTGGTTGCATGAACTTTGATTCAAGGAAATATTACTTTACTGCCCAATTGCAGGATCTTATAAAGGATAAGAAACATATCTCAAATAGACTCCCAAATGCTTCAAGAATGTAGGAAAATGAAAACTTCCCATAATCTCTAGATAAGAAACGGCATTTTAATAAAATAGTTTTTTAAGGGAGTTTCCACGAGTAGGTTAAGATCTATGTTTATAGCAGAGCATAACTTGAACCACCTCTTAAGCTACCCACAGGTTATAATCAGTCAATTTAGAGCTTGTACCGTTGTCTACAGCAAGCATAAAGATTTTCAGCAATAAGGAAAAGATAAGACATAATTAAGCAGAGCCCTCAAAAAACAATACCTTGGAAGGATCCCTTAGCTGAGGCTTAAGACTCATAACCTGTGGGACAATAACTTGTATCAAAGGCAATTGTGAAGAAACTCCATCAGAATATCTGGCTGCTGTGTAGTGTATCAATTCAGAAACAACTGCAAATACCAAGAAGAGCATCAGAGGCAGCATGAAAGCAAAGAGTGAGAAATCAAAAATCAAAAGTAAATCAATCCAAAGAAAGTCGGAAACAATTAAACCATTTAGATGAAATATGCATAAGCCTGTCATCTTCAAAACTAACAGACCAGGAATCATATAAAGTAACGCATTTTAGAAAATAAATTCCCTCAACAACAACAACAACAACAACAACAAGACTAAAATATTAATCTCAACAATAATAATAATAATAAACTGTAATCTCAAAGGCTATGTTGAAATGACAAGACGAATTTCAGACACTACAATTAAGGTTCAACAAGAAGAAGACTAAACTATTAATCTCAACAACAACAATAATAATAATAAACTATAAATCTCAAAGGCAATGTTGAAATAACAAGACCAATTTCAGACAGTACCATTAAGGTTCATACGTGTGGTAAATTGGCTATGTCACATTCAAGTAAAACAATTAAAAACTACACAAGACCAACATTCCAAGCTCAAATAGTTCTATTAGAGATTAATTCATCTTAGTTTATAATATACGTAAACAACTAACTTTTGAGCATTAAGGATTTCATCAAGTCGAAACATAGTTATATCTCTCTACACATGTACAAATGATCAACACGTAATATTACATGTTTGACACTGCAAACCATATCGATTTGTTATTCATTTGCCATAGAACATGAGAAAGGAAAGTTCAATTCAATAGACACATATATAAGGTATTGGGGAACTAAGTAACTGGCAATATGATGCTCCCCAAATTCACTACACATGAGATATCACAAGCTTCCACAGGTTAAAAGTTAGTTCAATTTTGTACTAGATGACAACTGAGTTGGGTAACTCCACTGACTATTCGGCTAAACAGCTCCACTACAGATATGAAACAAAATTCAGGGTTTCTTTTCCCCCTCTCAATATTTTAAAACTACTGCAAAGAACTTTGTGATTACACCAGAAAGATGGCTAAACTTAATTTCCCATATTAGAGTAATCTAGTGGTCAATTGTTGGGTAAACGTATCAATCATATGTGCCAAGCTCCTTGACAACGAGGTGCAGCTTAGTGGTAAGACGCCTCACTTGTTGACCAATAGGTCACGGGTTCGAGTCACGCCGGGGGTAAGTGGAGAACCACTATCGATCCCTTTACATTTATATATATATATATATATATATATATATATATATATTTGTGTGCCAAGCTCCTTATGATGCCCAAGAACGAACACGCGAGGAAAGAGTCACAATATGATAATCCACAGCATTATTTAAAAATAATCATGAAGAAAAAAACGACAATTTCTAAGAAAAATATACGAGAATCCTGGAGACGATGAAGAAATATAGGTTTTAACATAAATCCTCTACCCCACTATACCACATGAAAGCATTCATTTATCCTTGAAATATAAGGGAGTTTTTTGAAGAAGAAGAGGAAGACATGAAGTAGGATTTGAATAAGATATAATAGATAACCGTGCTGTAATACATGCTACAAGAAGAAGCTGCAGTATAAGTCCTATATCCGTAACATTCCTTATTCAGACTCTTTGAAAAGAATATCCCTTTCATGTCTGAATAATGGGAAAAAGAAAAAAAAAACATAAAAATAAAAAAGAGACTTGCGAATGGCTTCATGACCAAACTAAAATATTAAGCACATTGAATAATTTGATAAGCTTCAAGGGCAAACATGAATCATGATGAGGGGGCAATATAAATTTTGAAAAGAACCATGTAGAAAAGAGATGTATAGAGAAAAGTTGGTGGCTTAGAACATATTATTAGGCCAAAAATGAACTAGCTTTCCTAAATTAAGGTCAAATGCACTTGTATCCAAGAAATTAAATTAAATCACACAGCAGTAAGAACTTCATATTCAGTCATCAAAGAGGCTTCTCCTAAGTACTTCTTAAGTCAACTGAGTTCCGGTGGTGAATCAACTTATCAAACACTGAAAGTTCTGACATTCTGTAGGGAATCCCTTGCTGAATATCTCACAGCCGAAGTATATAACAAGCCAGATAAATAATTTCCCAAAAATATAACAAGACAGGATGCCGTTGAATAATTTATGTACCGTTTACTGAGGCTTCTGAAACCACATCAGAAGTCAAATTTGAGAGAGCTGTAAGCACTAGAGGATGAGAAGCAAGAGCAGACGCAGGAATCCTGAAAGGAAAGTAAGCAAGGGTAAAAATATAGACCATTGTAAAAGTTACGATACACATGATGCATGACATGCAAGAGAAAGGCCACGAATATTATTGATTCTATTCAACCAAAAGAATATGCATGCTTCATGTCTAGAGTCGACTCCATACTAATGTTCACGCCAAAGAACCTCCGACATCTCCATACATGAGTGATACCCCCAAACGAAAATTGATGATGTTGATAAGCATCACATCAACATCAACATTCCCGGTATATAGTTCGGGGGGGGCAAGTGTATGCAATCTCGTAATTACACAGAGAGGCTGCTTCTGTTGCAGCCAAAGGTACATTGCATCATTTGATGTATTGGTTTCCAGAAACTTCACTAATAGAAGCAGCACTGGGAACTTTTAGACAGAAGCACTGGGAGCCATTTTGATCTACCCCATCATAAGGGAGATCCAGAATATGAAGCCTGATAAGCAATCTCAAACAAAATTCCTAAGTTTACAGCTGAACAAGAAGCCTTGAATCCCTAAATATCCCACATAGGACAGAACGCTAGAGCATGGTGAAATGGAGAATTTCATCTGCACAGCAACAGAAGCACAAAGCATATTCTATAAATTTGCAGGTGCTCCAGCATCAACAAACAAGGAAAACCAAAGGAATAAGTCACCAATCTGGCTTCAGAGAATGAACAGTTTTAATTTTACCATCCACCAACTTTATTCTGTTCGTGCCCATGTACACGATGATTTATCGCAGTCAGGCTAATCCCTATTCGAGTGATCCATAGGAAGAGGATGACCCTCAATGCATAAGAACAATACTCAAAATGTCAGCAACAACTAAGGTGAACCCACTAAGTCATAAACAAAACGACTAAGGTTTAGTAACCTAAGAATTTAATGTATCTATGAAAACGTTGATCGCGAGAGCAGAGGAAAGATAAATTAAATGAAGAGATCAAGATTTCAAAACATTTCGAAAAGAAGACCACAAAAAAAAAATTACTTCCTTAATCCTCATGCAATTTAAAACAAATTCAGACGATCATGGCAGTGTTAATCTTGGTTTGAAAAATTATATCAACATTGATGGGCGAGGGATCACTACTAACTCCAGTTCATCAAAAGCAAACAAAGAAAGAACGAGCATCAGTTTTGAGAAGTTAAGTAATGAAGAAAATGATACCTGTGCCTCAGCCTCAACCAGGAAGCAAATGCCTCAAGCACCTGCAGGGAAAATGAGAAGTCAAGACAGCTTGTTCAAATCAAATATACATTTCTAGCGGTAAATTTCCGATAACACGGACAACAAATAGAAAATGCCGGTATGGAATCAAGGACTGGCAAAGGGGGGGGATTCCACCATTTCCAACCTATAGACTAATTGATTTAAACAAAAATGTCAAAAGGACAGTTTAATAGCCTTTGTTAAACTCGACATGGAATTGAACAGGAAAACGGGACATATTTCAGGTAGCATTCTGTCACAAAGTGCTAGTAGGAGGGGCGAAAGAAGCCCACCCTCATGGTATGTTTCCTGACACCAAAGAGGATCCCAACAAAAATAAGAATCAATTATGCTAAAAAGAGAAGTTGCTACCGCCTTCAGGTCTGCCTACTGAGCAAAATTTGCCACAAGGAAAGGCGATGACACAGATCCTATAATCAGTTATGCCATAAATCAGCTCCAAAATGCTGGGTAATGCATTTTTTTCAATAACTATAAACACAGCTGTTTCTCTACATGCAAGAGGTGCCCACCAATATGCAGCGAATGTGTACTGAGTCCAAGATAGAAGACAACAAATTGGGTGTTTAAAGATCATTTGAGTATCATTGTTCCTTTATATTCATACTAGTTATGGCAAACTGCACATGGTCAGGTACACTAAATACTCCCTCCATTCCAAAATAAGTGTCATCCTATAACTTGCACATAGTTTAAGAAACACTTAAATAGGACAGTAAAATTACTTGAATATCCTCAACTAACCCATTAAAACAAATGCTCTCCAATAGTATTATTTCTTTTGAGGGTGATTTTGGAAATTTTGAACAAAAAGTGCATAGAAATGTGAGAACGACACTTATTTTGAAATTTTTCTATTTTGCTAAAACGACACTTATTTTGGAATGGAGGGAGTACAAAAAGAAGTAATTAGGCTTTTCAAGTCTTCGCAGGTAAAGTTAAGAAATTTCCATCATGTGAGGGTTACTGGGAAAAAAAAAAAAAAAAACCAGATCATGTTTATATCAATTATAATAAAAATGTAAGCATTCAAGTTGCGGTCAGTTTGTGCACAAACTACTACCCCAATTTTAGTTTACTCTTGTTAGACTAATTTCAAATTTCATATTATATCTTCCTATGACCATAAACTAATTTTGTGCGAAACATTGTTAGTGTTGGGATAGTATGCACATTGGGTCACTGATACACAATTCACTATTGATGGTCATTTATTCATCAAGTTTTCAAAATGGAATCCCTAATATTTAGTAGGTCACTGCTTTACATATGCGCTGACCCAATGTTTAATAGTGCTTTTGCCAAAAGGAGATGTACCAATTGGTAATAGCGTTGTGTGTGTTGTGTGGGTTAAGAGGGAATAGAGAGTGCAGAGGAAGGGACTAATGTTTTCGTTAAGATGAATCCTATTCTTTCATTCTTCAATTAAGAATCCAAACACTAAAAGATGTTCAAGTGGGGCGAAGAAAAGACTGTTCATACTATAATTCCAATTTAAATAAATCAGAGAGCACATCTTGATCTGCCTTCCCCAAGAAAATATCATATCTTCAGCTCTGGGTACACGAAAAAATTTAACAGCATTTCCCAACACTCATGAATTAGATGATTATGTAAACTATATATATTAGCGGGCAATTATGTAGATTATGTGAAAAGAAGAATAGTATCTACAAAGAAGAGCACTTATATAACAAAACAAATTGGAAATCCATACCTGCTCCATGTATTCATTGATACTCAAACAAGCAGTCAATATATTAAGAGCAATCTCCACTACAGAAGCAAGTTCTTTCTCAAATTGACGGCGCCGATCAGGCCTAACCGAAATCTTGTAGTTGAATGCTTCCTGTATTTAAACAAGAAGATATCTAAAATGCAGTGGAGGAAAAAAAAAATCCAAGGAGCCAATATCCAGAACTAAAAATAAAATACAGAAACAAAAGGCTGAAACAACTTCGTAAAGGAACAACTTAGTGTAGAAGGACTTAAAAAATAACATAAAGGAAAAAGTAGATACTTCTCTAGCACGAAAGAACAGTGATTAGAAAAAAGGGCCGAATAAAACCAGATGAAAAGGGAAATAGTCCAAACAGATTAAAACCATTACATAAAAATGATATCAAAGGATTCTTTGACTTAAGATCCTGAACATCTCCAGGAAAAAGAAGTTATGCAAGAATCTTCCTATCCAAAAACTTCTTCAAGTAGCGATGTTAAGGATGGCAACAGCACATTAATTATTACATATATTGCTCCTAGAGACAAAACAAATTTTGTTTGAGATTTTTAGACAGCAAACTCTACAATTGCACCGCAAGCTAATTGGTAATAGCTTCAAAGACATCATAAGCCTGTTAATCATTCCACTAATACAGAAAGAATGGTTTTTCTGGCATAAAATCCAAAGTTGTTCTTCATCTCCAAGGGGTTACAGAATCCAATTTCTTTAAAATGTGGAACATTTTAAGAGTACCTCTGGCAATACTTTAAGAAGCTCCAGAAAACTTGGAATATATTCGGGATGGGAGTTCATCTCATCCCTTGCCCACTTTACAACACCACCATCTCCCCAATCATCTGCAGGTACATGAACAGCTAATGCAGCCACTGCAAGGCTAATCTGTGAACGAATATAAATCAGAGAAGAAAGAAGAAAGGAGGCTTCATACATCAAAGACAAAAGCGAGGTGGTAGATTACAAGTTCGGAACCTACTTGTGTTCGAACTTTAGGGGGTCCCTTGTGAAATGTCTTCAACAAAGTCTGCCACAAAAAAGTCAACAACTACTAAAATACATAATTAAGTAAAACATATATGTCCAACGAATGTAAGTGCATGTGCGATTGATTGTGCAGAAAACAGTAATCATGCAACACAAGAAATCAATTCACTACATCACATAAAAATAATAAAAACTTTCACTTAAAAAGGCCATTTCAACTCAAGGAGACAAAAGATTCCCCAGAAAAGAGACAACCATTATCAAAAAAGAGAACTTCATGCCTACACTGGGTCAAAGAGAATCAGTAAACAAATTCAAAAGATATCTTATATCTTTTCATTGTTTAAAAGAAAGATGGGCTGAAGTTGAGGACTTGAAAGGGAAAAGATACTTCGCGAGAACTTAATCTCCCTCAAGATTAGTAAAGGCGTGTTCAAAGAAACAACAGACTGGGAATTTAAAACTCCAACATAAAATTTGAACTAAATCTAGTTTAGACAGAAAACTTTTAAGTTCCCTGAAACATGATGTCATCTTCTACAGTACAAATGAAATGTTCTTTATGCATCAGTACATGTACCTAACTTTTTCAAAGTCCAGTATAAGCATCAACAATATCCTGGACATTATACCTTTCAACTGTACAACTGGCAGTTCAGGAAGTAAAATTATGCTTTTGAGAATCTAAAAGAGTGACAAAATACTTACAAGAAAGGGTACAATATCAAGACTGGAACCTACAAACTAAAGCTCATAGCGCAATTTATCTAATCAAGCAAGAAACATACATTAAGGAAAATCCACAACTCAAACAAGAAATGAGCTACTCTGTGACAACATTACATGCTGAATGTCCCTATTCTGGTATTGCCAAGTAGAAGGACAAAGTGTATAGATCCGCAAATCTACCGGTTTACCCAAATCAAGTCGTCAAAGCAGCGAGCCATATAGTCACTCGAAAGGATACACAATCAACTGCAACCACGAAGAGTTAGGACAACTCACATTTAAAGAATCTCGCAAAGGACGAAAAGCTTCTGAAGGCAACTCTTCGAAATCCCGTTGTACCTACCAAACATAAATTTAGAACCCAGAATCAAGCGGTAGTATGGTGCAAAAAGAATACCAAAAACCAAAAAAAAACCAAAAAAAAGAAGAGGGGGGATAATGAAGAGAGCTAGAAAAATACATATGCCACAACCTAGTAGAGCAATACATAAAAGGGTCATGTATTTCATAAACCAAACAAGCCTTTCTCAATCAAAACTAAGATCAACAGCAGTACATAGAACATTCAGAAACTAGAAACCCAATGTTTTGTATTTGAAACTACGAAAGCAACTTAGATATTGGTGAAGCCTAAATCCTAACAAGGCAAAAACACAAAGTTACAGACATCAAAACCTGAAGTGACAGCATTATGACTAGCTTACCTTGCTTCTAAGAGTCTGCGAACAGAATATTAAAGTTTCTTGGTTACTGGTAGTATCATGAAGCAAGTTGTCCGCCACCTACAGAACAACGAAAGAATATCTGAGAATGAAACTTAACGCAAAGAACCAGTAAACCGTAAGTGTGACGCATCGGTCATGAGAAACTTAAAGAAACAATAGAATGCCATCAAAAATGGAGAAGCCAATGCAAAACTTTCCTAAACAGCAATATAATATATTGTAATAACCGACAATATTAACTGTACACTATGGTCAGAAACATTAATGATTGACCTCCTCTTTTAACTGAGCAGCTGACCAGATATCAGGTCGATCTAGGATAGAAGTGTTTCATTTGCTATGACAGAAGGAGAAACATAAGGGGATTGAAATCTCAAGGCATTCCATAAAGGAAAGAAACAACACATAAATGATGGAGTTTCAAAATGGAAGCCGGTAATTTTGAATTGAAACATGCTCCTAAAAAATATTATAAAAGTTTCTTTGAAGTACGTAAACGAGCTGACTATGCAATACTAAAACCCTTTTACAGAAATTCAAAAGTATAGGTTAGAATTATAAGGACAGGGGGACCCAATTCAACCTATTCTTATAAGCTGGTAAAAAGTCAACTCACTATGACCTTATCTCGATAAGTTTCCGTTAGTACCCAATATTATGAAACTATGTGATAATGCAGACAAAGAAGGGCCTAAGAACTCTATCACTAGGATATTCTATACTTTAGCCAAGGATCATCATGATCCAAGGAAGGAACCAAAAGTGTTAAAACTTTGGTTAAGTTAATCCTTTATTAGGCAACAATTTTAGTTAGTTCATTGTTCTTAATAGTAAATTTTAGGAAAGGATATTTTAGTATTTTAGCTATGCTGCAGAATTTTCGGGAATAAAAAGGATATTAGGTGTGAATCCTAGTCGTCTTTGGTTTAGGTCAAGTTTTAGGCCTTTACATATGTACCTCATATGAGGAGGATATCTTAATAAACTTCCTGCGAGCTTTTGCTTTCAACAGCAGTTGCGTGATGCAACTTCTTTGGGTGTGATGCCTAGGAATCCTGCGGTGTGATGCCAAAGGGCCCTAAGAGTGATTCTTAGGTTTTGTTCTTGTTTCCTACCGCCTTCCTCCTGTTTCCCTATGATTTCTACCTTGTTTTCCTAAAGATTCTTTTAGTTTTCCGCTGCGTACGTTCCTTTAACCAGTCTACAGTCCGATTTTCTTAACCACCACGTTGGTGCTGCATTATGTGATTTATAATCTTTATAGATTACTAGATCAGAAAGATTAAAATAAAGGTCAAACTATAGACAGAAACCACAACTGGATGTAACAAATTACCAATCCACAAAAAGTAAAGACAATCTATCTTACTGTTTCTTCCTAAGGCATAAATAGGCCCCAACAACAAGCAAATCAGGAAAAAGAGGGCAAAAAAGAACAGAAAAACCGACATCCTGCAGCATAGAAACTCCCTCGTGCAGGGATAAGAATATAACTTGAAACAAATAGTTATGGTGGCTAGTCAAGCGACATGACACAATAGTTATACATTGCCTTAGATGATGCGTATGCGCACACAGAATACCCATAAACATACAAGAAAAAAACAAAGAGGGATATAACAAGGTGGCAAAAGGCTATTGACCTTGAGTGTCTAGCAAACCAAAGCTTACCATTCACTTAATCTTATGAATATGTTACGCATGTTCTCCAGTCCCCAAGGACCAAGAAATAAGAATGCAATTGCACCCCAACAATCTTCGAGCACAAATTAATTACTCACTCCATCTTGCTCTGGACATCCCTTTTGCAAGGTGAAATTGTATTCAAATTAAACCGAAATATATTAATTTGATGTAGATCCTAACTTTACCCTCATGTCCAGATAGGTTGCTTTTGGAACTAAACAGGGCAGGACAACAAAGCATTTTCAAGGAATTTTTAGAGGTACAATTTTCTGAAATTGAAAGTACTACAAAACAGTAATTGTAAAATCTTGTACCTTTCAAGTATTCGTGTAATTTTGAGAAAACATTGATCATTTTCACAATAGATAAACCAGAAATAGCAAATAATAACTGATCCCCATCAGATATCTATATTGACTTCTATAAATAGCTAAAAAGAGAAAAGTAGTCCCTTACAACAGTACCATACACAAGGAGGCATAACAGTGAAAATAAAGACCCTGTGACTGCTTTAATTAGCTATGGTATAACAGTCCATAGAATTACTATCATGTATTCAGTAAGAGCCATCACAATAATTACTTCCTCAACACTCAATTCACGAATCGCGATGCATTTCTTTACGCTACCAACTCAGACCTCCTTATACCTCTTTGCCTAGCTCACAAGCACATTATCTTGTCAGTCTCAGTCAGCTTAAGGACTATCAATTCATAAAGCTGCAATTATTGAAAAGCAATGTGATGGCAGCACAGGGTTGAGTCAAAATCCAAATAAGGACCACCGACAGTAGCTTCTAAAGGACAAACATACAAAGATAGTTGAAACAGCTGCCATTAAACATGAACAACAGCTGGCTGTTTTGACCCTAAACCATGTAAATTATCACTAAATAAAATAAATATCTTAAGGAATGCCAACAAATTTTTCAGAATGCCGACATAAAATTTAGTAAAACGACAGCTACTTGTCGGTTAACCTCCAAAAGTAAAGCTGAATATTACTCGACAAAGAAAACTCACAAACCACATACGACAATAAATAAGCTGACACGATTTGGAAAAAAGTATTTCCAACTTTTAGCCCGTTGCCAACTCCAACTCTTACTAATTTCAAACTTTTTACTACTTGGCATAACTTCTACTAGTCTCTCATTGGTTGAGATATATGGTCATTGGTTTGCTGTTATGCTGCTTTCTAACTTGAATATGTTATAGGTAAACATGGCTCAATTACGAACCTCATTTTTCAACAAAGAAAAAAAAAAATTCTACAACCAAAAAATCTAAACAATATAATCCACGTTGATTAATCGTTGCACAAAACTAACCCTAAGGGCCCTCAATGTAGTAGACCTTCCAGAATTCAAAATATTTTGAGAGAAAAAACAAAAACAAACTCTTCAAAGCTGGTGAACCGAATCTTGACAACCAATGGATGAAACAGCACCCATGAAAAAAAAAAAAATTAACATCAAATCACAATCAGGACCCACAAAACGTCAAGGTAATTATGAGCAAAGTTCAAATTTACTCCAAAGCTGATCAACCCACAATTCCAATTAACACTAATAAACTCTAATAGCAAACTGAAAAGCAGAAAAGGCACGAAACGAATCAACATATATCACCTGCCAAGCGTCAAGGGTACGCTGGAAGCTCTGAAGCCATCGATCGGCTTCCATGCGAACGGCGTCGTCTGGGTAATGATACAGTGCATTTAGGGCCTCTCTGACGGTGTTCTGCAACTCCATTGCGGCAGAATCCAAAACTTCAATTCACAGAGTATATGTACAATTGCTTTTGTATATCATCTATGTATGGAATTCCGAGCAAAGAATATCTACGAATTGAAGTTCATCGGCACCGAGCAAAGGGAGAAGTGGGGTTTTAACGTTTTGAAGAAATCTTTTTATGATTTTTGGATTTCTTTTGGCGCTTTTTGTTTTAGTTAGGGATTACTTGTTAATTTTTTATAATTTTTAGTATCGTCTTACTGTGGACTGTCGTTGAATCATAGCCGTCTGATCATTTAATTATCAAGTTTGGTCGGTTGAGATCAAGAATTAATTAGTAGTAAAACCAAATGAGTAAATAAATAAATTAAGGACCTCGTTCGGGCTTGTTATGATGAAACATGAAAGGGCTTGCTTCCAAAAAAAATTACTCTATTTTTCATTTATAATTTTGACATGACTTTTATTTGTTTTGTTTTTCCATTTCTTTCGTCCTTAGGTTTTTTTCTTAATTTTTTAACTAATTTACTAAATTATTTTGTTATTAGTCGACATTTTTACGCTAAAATATTCCAAAGCCTTCATAAAACTACATTATTTTACCATAATAATAACTACAAAATTCGTTAAAGCATAATAAAATATACATGCACTAAGTGTGATTTATTATTACTTCGTCTTAAAAAAATTGTTCCACAAAGAGCACATAAAAAAATATGATTGTGATAAAATCAAATATTTGAAAAAATTCAGAAATAGAGATGTGTAACTTTATACTCCCTCTCACCCAGCTATTTTTTCGAGTTAGAAAAAATACCATATAAGACTACTATTTTCAAATAATCTTAAATCTATATAATTCAGGTTATACAAGTCAACTGTTATAACAAATTAACTAAATGGTCATCCTCATAGAATTAGTCAAGGAAGGGTTTTTTTTTAAAAAAAAGACCACCTGTGGTAAAAATAAAGGAAAAGGAACGCGCCCCACGCGCCCCTAATTTTCCAAATCTTCAAACGGAGAACCCCAGTTCATGAATTCCAGATCTAATTCTCCACTGCTGAATTCATCAAATTCAAGCTCAATCCATCAGATTCAAGCACGCTACAGAGGATCGAACTTTCATCCAACTCCAACCCAATTAAATTTTGGAGGAAACAGAGTTTGTAGCTGATATGTTCTTTTACAATTTCTAGGCGTCCTAGCTAATCTGATTCTCCAAAATGCGGTGGAATTATTCTAAAGAGGCAAGATTGAAACCTCATTTTATGCATCCACGGTCAGAAAAGGAGATTTGGTTGTCAAATCGGGGTCATATAAGCAAATATGTGACATATGCAATGAGACTTCTCCGACACAACATTGCTAAAGAAATTGAATTTAGGACTACTTGTTTAGCTATAGTTAAAGCAATTGCTGCGGTGGAAGCTCTCAATAATATACTGCCAGCCACTGATCAAATTGCCATAACTATTTCGACCCTGTCTGCAACATCCAAGGTTCCAGAAATCACCATCATCATCTCCTATTTCGCTGAAGAGCTGTCCAATTTGCAAGAAGCTGGAGCAAAGGATTAACCTAGGAGCACCAATCAACCGCCAGAATTAAAAAGTGGTCAGCTGATTCGGCAAAAATCAAGATAGATCGAAAGGGGACAAATCCCAATCACATGAAGACTGATGCTAAATTAACTAAGGTCTGGATGTCATGGGTACCTATTGACGATGGTCTTTCACGGTCACCGGTGTTGGCAAAGTCGAATATCATATATATTCCCTCGGCTGCAAATAGAACAAAGGATCCAAGTACAATAGAGCACCCAAAACAAAATCATGATGTTTTGATTGGTGTACCTCTTTTAGAGGAATCCAATAGGCTATGGTTGGAGACCCAAGTCCTCCATATAAAAAACACAACTTTATTCAAGCGACGGGAAAGTGCAAAAATCAGAGGACAGAATGGCTTCCAAATACATGCAGTCTTGAGATTAAGGAAGGAAAAAATTGGCAACATCCATGGGCATAAAGGAACATTTAGGAAACGCAAGAGGGAGGCGATGGGTGACCTTGAGACTCCATTTTGCTCCAAGAAATTGATCACATCATCACATTGGTCAAGCTTCAATAGAAACATAGCCGAAGCAAGTTTTCATTTCTCTATTGTATGGAGTCAAGTGTTGAAGGGTTTCAGTACCAAGAAGCCGACAAGAACAACAAATAGAAGGGGCAAGGTGGAGGCCTCAACAGCAACATTTGAAAAAGGACTTGTGAAAAATGAGCACACCAAGGTAGCAATCCCAGCGACAACTTTTGACAGTTCACTGATTACACCAGAGAAAGGTAATATTTCTAATATTTAGAAGTGTTTTGCGGCTGTTGAACCTGGTCAATTGTCTTTTGTTTTATGAGTATTATCTCTTGAAATTATAGAGGCATGAATAATGCTTCTACAAAGTTCTCTATGAATAGGTTAGTTGGAACATATAAACCTAGTATTTTCTTTGTTACGGAAACTAAGGCAAGTAAAGACCAAGTTGTAGCTTGGCAACAATCCTCTCCTTTTGTCAACTCTTTTGTAATAGACCCTATAGGGCTTAGCGGCGGTTTAAGTTTGTTTTGGCTTGATGGTGTTAAGTTTGATATACTAGCTCATGACTCGAATGTAATAGTAGCTAAGGTACAAGAAGGTTCTGGTTTAGAATGGCTAGTGGTTTTTGTGTATGGCTTTCCTTTTCGCCAAGGAAGGGCCAATGTTTGGTCTAGTTTGAATAACACCATCAGGTCTTTTGATTATCCTACTATTATAGTAGGTGATTTTAATCAAGTAATACACCAAGAGGATAAGCTTGGTGGGAGGCAGGTTAGAGAACAAGATACCAGATGCATTCGACAATTCTTTTAACAAAACAACCTTGAAGAGTTAAGGCATCTGGGTTGTTGGTATACTTGGACCAATAAAAGACAAGGGTCACAAGCAATTTTTGAAAGACTGAATCGGGCTTTTGTGAATGCTCAGTGGCTTCAACACTTCCAAAAGGTTTTTATCCGTAATCTCCCTATCTCAAACTCAGATCATGGTACTATCCTCATACAATTAAAATGACAAGAGTTGTAAGATGAGGAAAAGGAAGAAGTTTGAACAGTTCTGGTCCAATTAAAATCAAGCTAGAGAAATTATCCAGTCAATTTGGTCACAGGAGAACCTAGTGATTGAGTCTCCTCAGGAGAAGCTGTCATATAAGCTGCAAGGGAGTTTAACTAATTTGCATAAATGGAGTAAATCTCAGCTTGGTCACATTGATCATCATGTTACAAAGCAGTTCGATATTCTGATGTCACTACAACAACGGTGGGAAGCTGATAGTACAAATGGTCACTTGTTTTTCCAACTTCAGCAACAAAGAACACTATAGAGGAAGCTATGCAATTTCAACAAGACTATTGGCATCAGAAAGCTAAGATCAATTGGTCCTTACAGGGTCACAAAAACACCAAATATTTCCATCGATGGGCCACGAGAAACAAAGGCAATAAATGGATTACTGAGTTACGAAATGTGGAGGGGATTTGGATTCAGGATCAGAGAGGCTTGGTCAACATGATTCAAGAACACTTTGCTTCCATCTACCTGGAACCCTCTCATCCACAGCAGCTTTAATCGAGTTTCTTTCAAAATCGTCTAAGTGAGGTGCAGGAATATCTGACTGAAGCACAAGTTACCTTGTTGGCTCAACCTTTTACAGCAACTGAAGTTTGGGAAGCAGTCAACCAGATGAGCCCTTGGAAATCTCCAGGTCCTGAGGGCATCCCGGCAGGATTCTACCACAAGTATAAGGCAATCATTGGCCATGAGTGGAGGCTACAATATTGGAGGCTTGCCAAAAGCAACAGTTTCCGGCTGAATGGAATCAAACGAATTTAGTCCTTATACCAAAAGTCTTAACCCCTACCACGCCAGCAGATTTCAAGCCAATAAGTCTTTGCAATACGAAATATAAAATCATTGCCAAGATGATTACTAATAGGTTAAAGCTTGTCATGAATGACCTTATTGACGAACACCAGAATTGTTTTGTGCAGGGAAGGAATATAAGTGAAAACATTCTGATTGCTCATGAAATGGTTGAACATATCAGAAAGAAGGAGGGTGCACTTGGTTTGGCGGCAATCAAACTTGATATGAGCAAAGCTTATGACCGTGTCTCCAGGCCTTTTCTTTAACAAGTGCTCACTAAAGCTGGTATTCCTTCCAATCTTCTTCACCTCATTAAGCACTGTGTCTCTATTATGTCATACACAGTTCAATTTAATGGTAAGGGACATTGATTCTTTTCGCCAAACAGAGGTCTGAGACATGGATGCCCACTGTCACCATACCTGTTTATTTTGTGCCAGTAAGTTTTATCCTCAGCAATCAGAACTGAGTCTGAGAATTTCAAAGGACTGGGAATACAGGTTTGCAGGAGGGCCCTGAGGATTAGTCACCTCATGTATGCCGATGATAGCCTATTTTTCTAATAATGCAATCAGGCATCCGTTCTAACTCTTGCTGGTTTAATTGAGGAATATGCAGCTTTTTCAGGTCAGAAAATCAAATTTAGAAAATCTTCTATTTTGTTAAGTTCAAACACAGTGCCAGCCATGAAGGACTTTATCCCTACCACTTTGAAAATTCCCGAGGGTCACATTCCAAAGCAAGTATTTGGGCTTGTCCTTAGATTTCAATGAGAAAAAGAAGGTCATTTTTCAAACCTTCACTTCCAAGCTTTCTGGAAAGTTTGCAAATTGGAAGACCAAACTTGTCACCCTCAGTGGAAGGATCACGTTGGCAAAGTCATCACTGGCCTCTATGCTTGTCTACCCAATGGGTGTTTTTCAACTTCCAGTTGCAACCATTCACAAGGTAGGGTCGATAATAGCAAGATTCATATGGAAAGGAGATCATTCAAGTACAAGCATTCATTGGAAATCCTTGAAGAAAATGAACAAGTCACAATTTCACGGGGGTCTGGGTCTTAAGTCCTTAAAGGAGTTCAACCAAGCTCTACTTGCAAATCATGCCTGGAAGATTATGTCAAACCCAGAGTCACTGATTTCAAGGTTGTACAGAGCAAAATACTGTCCCAATGGTGTGTTTCCGCCTCCAAACCCTCCGTGGAACCCCACTTGGGGCTTCAGGGGAATTCTATGGGGTGCAAAACTTCTAAGACATCATGTAAAATGGAAAGTGGTGTCAGGATGAAGCATTTCTCTGGCAGACAACTGGATTCCAAATCATCCCAATCCAATTCAACCGAATTCCTTGCTAGCCACTCTCTCCAACCTAAGAGTCAGTGATCTCATCACTGATAATGGCCAATGCAAACTGTCTACCATCTGCCAGTTCTTCCATGTACCTCTGATCCCAAATATTACAGGGATTTTCATTGACCTTTCTAGACATCAGCAAGGAGATAAGCTCATTTGGACTAAGGAGACGCATGTCCAGTATACCGTTAAAACTGGATACCATGAAGTGATCAATCTGTATAGCCCACAGCAGGCACTTCCAAATCTTCCACAGCCTAACACTGGTACACAGGTCTAGAAACTATTGTGGAATTCCAAGGTTCAACCCAAACAGAAACTTCTAGTTTGGAGAGCTTTAACCGATGCTTTGCCTATTATGTCAGGTCTTTGGAGAAGAAGAATAGTTAGTAATACTAACTGCCCTAGATGCCTAGCACCTTGCGAGGATGGCCTCCATCTTCTCATTGATTGTCTGCAGTCTCAAGCACTCTGGGGTTTAACTTACCCGACTATTCCTCAGACTTTTAATCATGGTTAATCATCCTTTTTCGAGTGGTTCACACAATGGATTCACTCAAATCCTTCACCTCTAGATCTGGGGCTCTTCATAATGATCATGGTGGATCTGAATTGATAGGAATGACAAAGTGTGGAGACAACACAAGAGGATGAGTCATGCTATTATTTGGTGGGTCCTATGAGTCATAAAAAACACATCCACGGTCAGAGAAGAGTCACCCAATCCAACACAACACAAGAGGATGAGTCATGCTATTATTTCTTTTGATGGGTCCTTTGATCCAGTCACACGGATGGCAGCAGGAGCGTGGAAGATTATCTCCCCGACCAATATGATCATGCAAATAAAAGCAGTTACAGTGCAAGCATTATCCCCATTCCAATCGAAAGTAATGGCATGTCTTTTAGCGCTCAAAGAGGCATCCAAGTTTGGCCTGGGTCGTGTTAAAGTGCTCACGGACTGTGAAGTGCTCACTCTTAATCTTTATCATTCTCTTTTCCCGTTAGAACTTAAGAGATTGTCTCATTAGTACACAACTTGTGTGCGAAATTTAATTCTTATAAACTGACTAAATTTAGCAGGAATGATGTCAATGACGTCTATAATTTAGTATATGGTAAGATATGTTGTAATAGATTAGGTCCCGTTTTAATATAAACAGGTACTTTTCCTCAAAAAAAAAAAAAAACTAAACGGTCATCTTTTAAAAATGTATTTAAATAATATAATCAAATTATCTTATGTCCCGAAGGGTAGAGAGAGAGAGAGGATTCTCATCAAGAGCATGTAAGAACCCAAAATTATTAAAAAGAGCATTTTTTATTATTGTTGTCATTAAAAACACTTATCTATGTCTATAATTATAGAAATAACTGATTTATCGTTCTCAAATCTCACAATTAATCTTCCTTATTAACTCTTTCAATCAAATTCCTCTTCCTCAGAGTCGTTGATTTCGATTACTATATGGTTATTTTATCAGAGAACTAAACAATGAACAAACAGATAACCATTGATGCATGATACAGAATGCACAAGTGCTTGTCATTTACAAGAATTTTAACTGTTCTGACAATGATGAGATGAGAATGAACTAAATCTACCTATATGCCTATTTTGACAACACTACTAGAAAGATACAGTAAAAATTGAGAATCAAAAACTCAAATGATCACCTCATAAAATACTGTAGGCTCCGAAAAGTGTTGAACTAAAATTTTTTAAAGCCTACCAAAATTGATTGAGCCAGTAAACTTTAGCATCTGGCTGCATTCTTTTATACTATAATCAATCAAATGATGTAGTTCTTTGAAAAGGTGCATCCGATTCATGCATACCAGATTATCCACTTCAAATAGCTACTGGACACCATGAAAAAATTTTTAAAAAATCCAAAATTTTAATTGAAAGCAGCAAGTAGCAATAATTTACAACAGGATCGAATAAAAGTATCTCTGCATATGTCTTTGATAATATTCCAGAATCAACCATTTTGTGTCAGTTTGAAGCTGAACCATCGATAACAATAGTGTTTATCCCAACAAAAATGAG